TTTGCGCCTCAGCGCGTCGAACGCTCAAATCATTCAAATCGTTCAAATCGAGCTGCTCTAATCGCGCTTGAGGTGCCGCAGCACTTCCCGACGCTGCTTGAAGCGCATCCACCATAGACTTTGCATGTAAACCTGATGCTCCTGATGCTGAAATCGCGTTCGGTGTGAACGCACCATTAGAGAGAGGCTTTTATACCAGAACACAGCCGCTGTGATGAAACCATGGAGAAGACACGTCACCGTGGAGAGCCGTTAACCAATATGGAAATTAGCCTGCAGTACCACTGCTCTACCCATATGAGCAGCAACAAGATGTTTTTAGACCAAAAATTACAGATTTGGACAAATACGCACAAAAACATCAAAATTAGCACAGAAACAGTACTAAATAACATTTTAGACACGTTCTAGACAGTTTATCAGCTAAAAAAGTTAATTTTGGGGTAAGTTACTCTTTAATGACACATAACTGAAAAAATAAAGGTACAAATAGTGAGCCTATTTGAGAGCACAAACAGTGTTTTATAGCTGTTATAAATGATTAACTCTTTACTAAGGGTTTACTAACTCATGAATAAGTTGTGTAAGAATCCTTCTTGCGATGTTTAACGTTTTAAATCTGTAAGTTTTGCAAACATTCAGTCTTTAACAAGAGATGATGTTCATCGTCTTCACTTCATTGTTTTTAGAGCTGAGTGGTGTCCAAAGTCAGTCCTCAAGGGCCGGTGTCCTGCATGTTTTAGATGCTGCTCTGGTTCAACACAGTTGAACCTAAGTAGTGCGTAATTAGTAGGCTTCCTCAGTATGCCATCAATGTCTGCAGAGGCCTACTAATTAGGCACCTCTTAGGTTCATGCAGGACACCGATCCTTAAGGACTGACTTTGGACACCACTGATTTACAGGAATTTTGCATGTTCCGGAAGATTTTACAAAAAAGTCATTAGTTTATAAAAGCTGAAGGTATTTTAACTGGTTCTAAAAGATTGTGAAGGTTGATTTTTACCAAACAAGCATGAATCAGGTGAGGTGGCAGAATTGTTTGGGGTAAGACTCAATTTTGTTTTGCTCTTTTTTAAAAGTTTTACAGGAAATAAACAAATTGAAGATGTGATTTTAGAAAACCACCCAGGTTTTTCCAAAATAAGATTTGTACAATCTTCTAAGAAGAATAACCTAGCCTCACTGTTGGATATAGAGGTGCCAAAGTAATCTACAGTAAATCAGTAGAACAGCACCGACACCCTGAGTATTTCTGTGCTGCCAAACTTTGGCTCAAAAAAAAAATAGATTTGTGTGATTTTTAATTTCCTGAAGAGACTTCTCAGACGCTGACTCAGCAGTATAGATCCCACTGTTTGCTTCGTGTTCATATTTATTCTTTCATGTTTTGTCTGTTTCTGCAGATATCTGTGTGCCGTATGCATCAGACGTCTGTAGAGATGATGCAGGAGAAGATAGTTTTAGGTTTTTAGGGTGCAGCTGAGGGGAGCAGGAGTTACATGATTGCAGTTTTATATTTATACATTTCAGTCTGCATCGATGAGAACCACAGAGCTTCAATTTTAAAAACAAAAGAAGAAAATAACTGAAAGACAGACAAGCAAATGAAAAAACTTAAGACAAAAACTAAACAAATGAAAGGTCTAGCATTCATGCCAGTTTTAAACTAAAATCATTTAATGAAGAGAAGAGATGTTTGAACCTTGTGACACTTAGCTACTTTAGCTTTGGTTATGTGTACATTTAGCTAAATTTAGATAGTTTAGCTTTAGCTCTGTGTAACTTTAGCTCTTTTTCTTTAGCTCAGTATAACTAACTCAATATTCCTTCAGCTACTTTACCTTTAGGTCAGTATAACTTTAGCTCAATGTTCCTTTAGCTACTTTATCTTTAGGTCAGTATAACTTTAGCTCAATGTTCCTTTAGCTACTTTACCTTTAGGTCAGTGTAACTTTAGCTCAATATTCCTTTAGCTACTTTACATTTAGCTCAGTATAACTTTAGCTCAATGTTCCTTTAGCTACTTTACCTTTAGGTCAGTGTAACTTTAGCTCAATATTCCTTTAGCTACTTTACATTTAGCTCAGTATAACTTTAGCTCAATGTTCCTTTAGCTACTTTACCTTTAGGTCAGTGTAACTTTAGCTCAATATTCCTTTAGCTACTTTACCTTTAGTTAGGTCAGTATAACTTTAGCTCAATATTCCTTTAGCTACTTTACCTTTAGCTCAGTATAACTTTAGCTCAATATTCATTTAGCTACTTTAGCTTTAGCTCAGTATAACTTTACCTTAATATAGCTTTAGCTCAGTATAATTTTAGCTCTATATAACCTTCCCTACTTTACTTTTAGCTAAGTATAATTTTAACTGAGTATAATGTTAGCTAGTTTAGCTTTAGCTCAATATAACTTTAGCTCTTTCACTATTAGCTTACTTAAATACGGAAGCCCTGAGAGGCAAGGAGGGAAATTTTTTTGAAGACCCGTATTCTAAGTCTGATCAAATTTTCTGTTCCTCTTGACTTTAACAGTCATAAGGTGAGTAAAAAAAGTATATAATAATAATAATAATAATAATAATAACAATAAACATTAAGTTTAAAAAAATTAAGCCCTGAAATACGAAACCCGTGAGGGGACATGGGAAGATGTTTTTCTTTTACGTGACCTCGCAAAACTTTTAGCTTTTCATCACAATATTTTTTTGCGTGCCCACACAAAAGTTTGTTTTGTATGAACTGAATTAAATCAKACTTTTATTTTGAAATATCCTGTTACCAAAACAGGATATGTCACCACAAGTTTGTGAAGTTGACATTGCTGTTGCATGGTGTTAAAATAACAGTGCATTACATACTTCTATGTGTGGCTGTGTGATACAGAGCCCATGAGGGGACATAGGGTTTTTTTTTTCTTTTGCGTTTCCATGCAATACTTTTGCTTTACCTCGCAAACGTTCGCATTCCCTCTCAATATTGTTGTGCGTTCCCATGCAAACGTTTTTGTATGAACTGAATTAAATCAGACTTTTATTTTGAAATATCCAGTTACCAAAACAGGATGCGTCACCACAAGTTTGTGAAACTGACATTGATGTTGAGTGGCTGCACTGTGTTAGAAATATACTTCCATGCGTGACTGTGTGATATATTCATTCTGAAGCTGAATTAAAGCAGTAGGCTAACTCACTAATGGTGAGCAGGTGAATTTGTTAATAAACCGACAGGCACAACAGTGATAAATGACTTTTGCGAGGGAACGCAAAAGACAAAAATCCCCCATGTCCCCTTGCCAGCTCCATACCGTTAAAGTCCAGAGAAACAGACTTAGAATATGGGTCTTCAAAAAAATAAAAAA